AGCGGTTAAACAGAATGCAATGTTTGTCCGAATCTTTAAGCTATTTTTAGAATCAGTGCGCTGGGCTATTGGTCCGTGGGCGAATTGACTGGTTACCATAATGCTTGATAACTATATAATAATTARCGTAAATGACTCTCCAGATATCAATGTTTTCATATATTCCATTTTACAAATGGCATATTGCATCAATATTTAATTGATTGATTAATTAAAAGCTTCCAGCATGTCTATTGTAATGATTAAAGAGAGACATTGTGTAGTTTATGATATTACATATGTAATAACATTGTAATATGTGTATATTATTCAAATATTCCGGATAACTCAGTAAAACATGGATAGATAGATAGATAGATAGGTAGTTAGATTCATGGGGCCCTAATGTAACTTGACACGCTCCCTTTTGTAACATTTGATCCCTTTTGTAACTCATTGCGGTTGCAAAAGGGATCGCGATCCCTAATGTAACCTCAAAAGTTTCCTAATGTAACTTGATGTTCCCCAATGTAACACGACACGTTCCCTAATGTAACCAGAGGTTCCCTTTTGTAACTCAAGGCGTTCCCTTATGTAACTCCACATTCGCCTTCAATTTTTTGTCATTTCGTTTTATTTATTTCAAATAAAAAAGGTGATATGGTAAATCGCAATGCTTTTTGAAGAGTATTATCATAGTTTTTCACTTTCTGAGATTTTTTTTTTGGGGATAAAAATCGATTATAAAAAGTGTACTAAAACCAGTTACTTCGATAGTTCCCTTATGTAACTCCATATTTGCCTTCTTTTTTTTTTTTGTCATTCATCTTTATTCTTTTTAAATAAAAAGTGCAATATGGTGGATCGGAATGCTTTTTGAAGAGTATTATCTTACTGTTTTCTTTTTAGGAAATGTTTTTCCGGGATTAAAATCGATTTGAAAAAGAGTATTACAACCACTTGCTGTAATAGTTGCCTAATGAAACCGTTTACTAAGTCTTGTGTTGTTATGATGTTCTTTGAAACTGATAACAAATATCTTACACTAATTGCCCATGCGCAGAGTTTTGACTATAAACTCCAATATTTGTTATCGAAATAAATACAGCCACAAAGTAGTTTGGCCTCTATCGTACTTCTTAACTAAGTTTTACATTACTTTAGAAGTCGTTATTAGTGCTAGTGATACCCAGTATTCGGTTGTGTTTTGACGTTTAGATATCGACGTTTAATGGTATTTTTACACAGTGCAATACAACAAACGATTGAGGTAGTGCAAGTAACTTCAGCTATACTTATTATAGTTATGGCCTTTATGTTATCATCAAGATTTCAATGGCGTTTAAGTTGCTGAAACACGGTGCAACATTGCACTCAACATCAGCAAGCAGCAAATTGGAATCGGAGTGACACTGGAATAAAATCATGCAACATCGCTTGTGTCAGCCTGCTATGTTAAGATATTTGGTCCGCAGTCATAAATTTGGTGCAAGGTGTTTCGCTTTAAATTTCATAATGTTGCAGGTAATGTTACAGACATGTTCACATGATGAAATTTGTTGCGCGCAATGTTGCAAGAGTAGAGCACGATTCAACTTCAGATTTGTTGCATGCA